GGGTTCCGCTTTCCCCCCGCAGCAACGGACCCTGCTGCACCGTCTAGAAAAACGTATATTTATTTATTTATTTATTGAGAATAAACCCGAACAGGTCCGGTAAAAATCGTCCAACTCGTAAAAAATATAAGGCTGCCCACAAATTCCCCCCTCCACCGCTATATGTACGGAGTCGGTGGCTTTTTAGGGTTTGCGTCCTGGATATTTTTCGCCCCATCCGCCAATCCGCCCCCTTCGCCGTCCACCTTCCTTTCTTCGACGAGCGATTTTGTGCGTTTGTTTTCCTTTCTCGCTGATCCATGGCCGGAGGAGCTCGCGGGCGTGAGGCCATGGCGGGTCGTCGCCGCGTAAGCTCGCCCGGCATGATGTAGAGGTCGGCAACTCCAGCCGGGCCGGCGTCGACCCGTGGCGTTCAAAGCAGGCGCGCGAGCACGACGGCCCCTCCCACAAAGGAGGACGGGGCGTGTGGGCCCGCTTCAAAGAGCTCGACGAGGCATTTTTCCCGCACACCAAGATGTGTCGGGACCCTGATCAGGAGCACGTCGACGCCCAACGCGTGTTGGCGACCGGAGAAGAAGGCGCCGCTGAAAGGCTCGCCGCCACCAAGGAAGACCACATGTACGCCCATGCTTGCCGGAGGTAAGGGGAGGTATTCTACCTCGGTGTCGAGCCATGAGCCGGCCATCCCTTGGTTTAAATTTGTTTGATCTACGTTTTTATGCTATTTATATGTGATGAACCCCGGTTATTAGTGCGACCTATATTTTAAATTTGCAGTATCTTTTTAGCGGATCTATTCCGCCGAGTTGTGTGCGATACCGCAAAACCGTTTTAGAGGACCCCTCAAACGAATTTTGCGGTACATATTTATAGCGGATCTGCTAGAGTTGCTGTAACATTAGTTTTTTGGCCATTCCAATCGAACGTATTCAACCACGTCAGATCCCATGCGCGAATCACAAGTGTTCGCTCCCACCTCCTTCAGGCAAATTAAGAGTTGGACTGTACACAGTCCGCTTTGGATGACAATCTGAACAAACATATTTTGGGATGACAAACTATATTACTGCTGCATGGCAATTTTTACCATTTTATGTTGATGTAGCCACATGTCTGATACGTCTCCGTCGTATCTCTAATTTTTGATTGTTTTATATCAGTATTATACAACTTTTATAAACTTTTGGCAACATTTTATATGATTTATTTGGACTAACATATTGATCCAGTGCCCAGTGCCAGTTCCTATTTGTTGCATGTTTTTTGTTTCATAGAAAATCCATATCAAACAAAGTCCAAATGTGATAAAAATTTACGGAAAATTATTTTGGAATATATGTGATTTTTGAGACTTGGAATCAACGCGAACGGAGGCCCACGGCCTCCACAACCCACCAAGGCGCGCCAGGCACCCCCGGTGCGCCCAGGTGCCTTGTGCCCACCCTGTAAGGCGGTTGGGGCCCTTCTTCTGGCGCAAGGAAGATAATTTATGGGAAAAAAACTGTGTAAAAATTTCAGCGCAATCGGAGTTACGGATCTCCGAGAATTTAAGAAACCGTGAAGGGCCAGATCTAGGGAGCACGAAACAGAAGAGAACAGAGAGGGAGATCCAATCTCGGAGGGGCTCCTGCCCCTCCGCCGCCATGGAGACCATGGACCAGAGGGGGAACTCTCCTCCCATCTAGGGGGAGGCCAAGGAAGAAGAAGAAGGAGGGGGGCTCTCTCCCCCTCTCTCCCGGTGGCGCCGGAGTGCCGTTGGGGCAAGGATTGTGACGACAATCTACATCAACAATCTTGCTACCGTCAACACCAACTTTCTCCCCCTCTATGCAGCGGTGTAATACCCCTTCTCCCTGTTGTAATCTTTACTTAAACATGATGCTCAACTCCATATATTATTTCACAATGATATTTGGCTATCCTATGATGTTTGAGTAGATCTGTTTTGTCCTATGGGTTAATCATGATCTTGGTTGGTATGATTGTATATTTTATTTATGGTGTTGTCCTACGGTGCCCTCCATCTCGCGCAAACGTGAGGGCCCCCCGTTGTAGGGTGTTGCAATATGTTCATGATTTTCTTATTGTCAGTGTTGCGGGGGATGGCAGCAGCCTAAACGCGGATATTATGGCGTATGGGATAAAGAGGACTTGATACTTAATGATATGGTTGGGTTTCACGACCTTAATGATCTTTAGTAGTTGCAGATGCGTCTAGGGGTCCAATCATAAGTGCATATGATCCAAGTAGAGAAAGTATGTTAGCTCGTGCCTCTCCCTCATATAGAATTACAAAAATGATTACCGGTACTTGTTATCGATTGCCTAGGGACAAATGACTTTCTTGTTGACAAAAGCTGTCCACTTTTACTACCTTGCAATTTATTCGTAGCTTTATTCTTGCAAAGTACTCGTAGTTTTATTCTTGCAAAATAGTTTCATACTTGTTTTAGGTAAAGCAAATGTCAAGTGTGCGTAAAGTTGTATCGGTGGTCGATAGAACTTGAGGGAATATTTGTTCTGCCTTTAGCTCCTCGTTAGGTTCGACACTCTTATTATCGAAGAAGGCTACAAACGATCCACTATACTTGCGGGTTATCAATGTCAAATCTCGAGCATGAAAAATTCCAACATTTTTAGCTGGCAATTCATAGACAACATGTTTGTTGATGGACGATGCTAGCTGGTTATCTCACAAACAACGATTTGAGCAAGGATATGGACGTTCATACCTTCTTAAGGCAATCTGTATTCTTACCTCTCTAAGGTATATTCACTTTTGTTGTATGAGTTGTATCTTTGGTCGAAACCCCCTTTTTTATCCATTTATTATATAAATTGTATATGTTGTATATGTTGTTGTTGTTGTTGTTGTTGTTGTATATGTTGTTGTTGTTGTTGTTGTTGTATATGTTGTTGTTGTATATGTTGTTGTTATTGTTGTTGTATATGTTGTTGTTGTTGTATATGTTATTGTTGTTGTACTACTTCGTTATTTGGGATGTGATATCAACTATTTTACTACATGGAGGATATGTTTTAGCACCTTAGGACCGTTATTAGGGGCTATCAGAGGATATGTTTTAGCGCCTTAGTAACACGATTGATGCAGTCGAACGTCTTCATGATCCAACCGATCCAAATATTGAACGCACGGCACCTCCGTGTTCAGCACACGTTCAGCACGATGATGTCCCTCGAGCTCTTGATCCAGTTGAGGACGAGGGAGAGTTCTGTTAGTACGACGGCGTGGCGACGGTGATGATGAAGTTACAGGCGCAGGGCTTAGCCTAAGCACTACGACGATATGACTGAGGTGTTAAACTATGGAGGGGGGCACCGCACACGGCTAAGAGAAGACTTGTTGTGCCTTTGGGATGCCCCCCTCCCCTGTATATAAAGGAGGAGGGGAGGAGGCGGCCGGCCTAGGAGGCGCGCCAAAGAGGGGAGTCCAACTAGGACTCCCAATCCTAGTTGGACTCCCTTTCCTTTTCCGGAGAGGGGGAAAGAGGGAAGGGAGAGGAAGACGAGAAGGAAAGGGGGTGAGGGAGTCCTAGATTAGGGGGTCCTCGGACAGCCGGACTATGTACTTGTGTCAAATTGTTGGACTATGAAGATACAAGATTGAAGACTTCGTCCCGTGTCCGAGTGAGACTCTCCTTTGCGTGGAAGGCAAGCTTGGCAATTCGGATATGTAGATTTTCTTCTCTGCAGCCGACTCTGTGTAACCCTAGCCCCCTCCGGTGTCTATATAAATCGGAGGGTTTAGTCCGTAGGAGGACAACAATCATAACCATAGGCTAGCTTCTAGGGTTTAGCCTCTATGATCTCGTGGTAGATCAACTCTTGTAATACTCATATCATCAAGATCAATCAAGCAGGAAGTAGGGTATTACCTCCATAGAGAGGGCTCGAACCTGGGTAAACATTGTGTCCCCCGCCTCCTGTTACCATTAGCCTTAGATGCACAGTTCGGGTACCCCTACCCGAGATCCACCGGTTTTGACACCGACGTTGGTGCTTTCATCGAGAGTTCCACCGTGTCGTCACAGTAAGGCTTGATGGCTCCTTCAATCATCTACAACGATGCGATCCAGGGTGAGGTTGTCCTCCCCGGACAGATCTTCGTATTCAGCGGCTTCGCACTGCGGGCCAACTCTCTTGGCCATCTGGAGCAGATCGATAACTACGCCCCTGGCCATCAGGTCAGGTTTGGAAGCCTGAACTACACCGTCGACATCCGCGGAGACTTGATCTTTGACGGATTCGAGCCCATGACAGGTGCGCTGAACAGTCGCGATGAGCATGACTTCGATATGCCATTGGACGGTGTTCGGGAGATCACACCTGTGGCTGCCCCGGCTCTTAATCTGGAGCAGATCATGCCATCCGAGGATAGGTGGATGGACCCCGCTACGGAGGCCGCACACTCAGCGACAATAGAGCCGAACACAGACTTCGCCTTCAGTGAGGTCTGTGTCGTCGGAACCCCGGACTCGTCTCCGGCCGCAGGCTCCAAACCGCGTACATCCGTGCCCATCGAACCTGATTGGGCACCGATCATGGAGTTTACCTCCGCGAATATCTTTCAGCACTCGCCCTTGGGCGACATGCTAAATTCATTAAAATCCCTCTCCCTATCAGGAGACTCTTGGCCGAACTATGTCCGGCTTGAGTGGGAAGTGGACGACGAAGAAATTCGTTACCCACCCACTACCCACTTAATAGCCACTGTCGACGACTT